GGGGTGGGCAGGTGGGGCTTCCGGGGAGAAGCTCGAGTGTCATCGCACATGCGCCCCTCCTCTTGGACGCTAGGGGAGGGGGGCTGCCAGCTAACCCCTGTTGACCACGTCCATCCCCTCAACTCTGCACCTCCAGTCTCTGGACTTCGGAGCCAGGACAGTGACCCCTCATTAGTCCCTAACAGGGACCATCAGTACCAGCAACAGGTGTCACTCCTCCCTCTGCGCCCACAAAGCTGACACCCCATCTGGAAGACAGAAGGCTCCGCCCGCCTGCGTGGGACCTCCCTGTGCCAGGGGCCTCCTCCTGGTCGCCTCCTCCATCCCTGCACCTTCGCTCTTCGGGGCTCTCCCAGGCCAACCCAGTCACCTGATGTAATCCGGTCAAGCTGGCTAATGTGTCCCCTAAAAGCCTGTGTCTTCCAGACCGTAAGTAGCCCCCTGACTACAGGCTGTTTGGCTCTAATGTTCAGGACCTGCCTTTGGCTTTCACCCCACCCCAAATGCCCAAGCAGAGTTCCCTGGTGAGACCAGGTTGGAGCAAGCTTACAGCTACCCTGCAGAGAAATTCACCCAAAGCTGAGGGCCCAGACACTCGGGTCTTCGCGCAGAAACACCAGAGAGAAGACAGGTGTGGTGCAGCAGACGCTGAGGACAGCCGCTCTGGGTCAGCAAGCTCCCAGCGGCACACCAGGACGGTAAGGGGAAAGCCCATGGAATCACACACCAACAGCCCACCTGGCCCAGGGCCTGCGTCCCCACAGACTCCAAGGGCAGTGAGGAGGGGGCTGTGGGGGAAAGAGCCTGGCCTGCCATGGGAGCCCTGAAGATATAAGGCCACAGGAACAGGTCGGGCCTATCTCTTTTTCAGCGAGAAAATCTGTAACGGGGTAGGGAGGACCACTCGCCAGGGCAGGAGGCGGATCAACATAGGAGACTGGTTACTTTGTACTTGACATAGTTGGGGGCTGCTTGATTGTTTCCCCAATGAAAATGTTCTCCAGGAGAAGCCCCGCAGACCCCTGGAAGCCCGCCTCTGCGAAGGCACCTGATCATCCCCTGGAGCGCGCCCGTGCTCTCAGGCAGCGGGAGGGGCCAACCACACGCGGGTTCCAGGTGCGAACACTCACACCAGCCCTGCGGGTCGGCGGGGGTGGAGCAGGGCCCGCGGGGGGCCTGGGGCTGTCCACACCCAAAGCCTCTCTCAGACCAGCTTTCGGGATGGGGCCGGACCACGAAAACCCTCCGGACAGGAGTCGCTTTCCTTGAAGCCCAGCCTAAGAAGTACCTGAGATGGATCCTCACAAGTGGGAACACCGACCTGGTGGAGCTGGGACAGACCCTAG